ATTTTTTTTACTACATTTTGATTATTAGATTAAAAGTTATTCAGGGTTTTCCGGTTTTCCCCCCGAACTGTACATATAATGTTTATAACAGTCGATCAAAAAGCTATCATCTGGTTTTCATACTTCGAAAAAGATTCATGTGCAAAAAAAAAGAGCAGAGAGAAAAAGGATAACATTCATTAATTCTGAAAACCATAAGCTTTATTTTTCTATAAGTAAAGCGCAACTAGGGTTACAGTACAAAAGTCAAGTCAATTTATAGTTTAAACACAAGGCAAAACAGCTTATAAAACAAAAATTAAGTTAATTGGGAAGTTTTTTTACATAATTAACATAATACTGTATTTGTTTTTCGTCTTTTTAAAAAAATCAAAAAAAGAACCATGATTTTTTTTCGACTTTTTTTTTATTTAAAAAGTCTCCAATTTATAAACATATACTAAACATAAATATTCAGAGAGATTTAATTCTAAATTTATGAATATAATGTTCAGCATATTTAATTGTTTTGTCTAGTATGTAAAATGGATTAAAAGGCACTTTATTAATTATATTCCAGGAAAGTTAACTATTTGTATGCAACGCAAATTGTATTTTTCACATCTTAACGCAGAGATACGTTTTTACATGGAATCGAACAAAGAAAATATACCAGGAAAATCATTTTCCTCCAGTAAGTTAAATATATAGTTTACATCTATTCTTATTACAATGGCAAATTATTATCCAAAACTATTTTTTCATTATTCGCTATTATTTACTTTAAATACTTGTCAAAGTATTTATAGTTATGTATTAAATAATTAAGTTTCAAAAAATGTTCTGCATTGTGATGCCATGTTTTTCTAATACGTTTTTGAAAATTGTAAAAATTAACATCTTAGTTTAATTGAACCAGCCAATATGTTTTGAAAATTCAGAAAACGTATTTCAACATACTTAAACTCTAGTTATCTTTAGCTTTGACAATAAAGATCTTTTAAAACTTTTTATTTCTTTTAGCACTAAGAAATATTTCTTTCCAATATTTCTCATTGACTAATATTTTAAAAAGGTTATCTTTCAAAGAAAAAAATAATAATTAATATTTATTCTTCCCCATTTTTATTCAATTGTTTTTTAAATTTTTGCCCAACACAAATTATCTCCTGATTTTTTTTTCTGACTATTCTATAAACAGTTTGAACTTGAAGAAAAAAAATTTAAAACCTACTCACATATAAACATATAAAAATAAACCTGTTATGCAGAAAAATGAATGAGATATAGATCAAAGTATTAAGTTTTATGTAATAGCAAGCTAGTTAACATAGGTATCGCCATATTTATGCATATCATGCATTACGAGGTTTGAATTCATTAGTTGATTTTAAAATTTAGAACTAATAATGTATCTATTTTGAGAGATAAAATTAACCGGAAATTTATTCAGTTATATATGGTCGAATTATCCATGTTAAAATGTAAGCAATTTGCAGATTTTTTTGTGAATTTTTGAGGAATTCTGAATGTTTCATGTAATTTAATTATCAGGGGTCTGTCCAGACATTTTGTGAAAGGTCCGTTTTTCGTGAAATTGTGAAAAAATTACTCACATTCTTTCAACCAGGGTCCGCTTTTATGAATTTGTGCAAATAGGGTCCGTTATTGCAAAAAAAAACTTTTTCAGAGTTTTTAAATTGTAAAGACATACAAGATTATGCTCAACACTGTAAAATTATAATTAAAAAAATTAAATTTTAAAAAATAAACAACAATTGCTGCTTTTAAATTAGAGATGCAACATACAAATATTTGGTATTTAGCCTATACTGCTGAACGCAGAATATTAATTTCGGACGAATAATGGAAGAATCGTCTGCCGAAGACAAAACTTTATTCGTTTACATCCATCTTTCTTGTTTTCTGCCCTGGAAAGGGTTTATTTGATTAACAAAATAATAATGAAGATAAACAAATTTGTGAAGGGTCCGATTAAAAGAAAAATCATTTTGTGAAGGGTCCGTTTTTAAGAAAAAATATTTTGTGAAGGGTCCGTTTTTATGAAAAGATATTTTGTGAAGGGTCCGTTTTCTAAACAGACCCCTGATTATACTTACTCAAATAAAATGCACGCATAAATAATATTACGCTCAGAATCGGATTTAAAAAAATATTTATATTGATTACATCATGGATAAGAAATAGCCCTAACTTTCTATGAAACTATAGGAGTATTTATACCATTTTATGAAACTTAATGATTCACTATAGGCATATCATGAAGATTTGAAATGATATACGAGTTCGAAAATTCCATTAAAATTCATTTTATCATAATATTTCCACGATTAATCTAGAATACAAGTTTAAAAAAGAAGATTAAACAGTATTTTATTAACTAATATTCTGATTAATAATCTTTTAGACGCAATAAATCTCCAAGGAAATTTCTAGAAAAGGATACTTTTCCGTATAAATAACGACGCATTTTAATAATGAGTAAAAGTTTGTTATTCATGAAGATTGATGCGTCTCAATATTTTTCTATTAATAAACGTAACCTATATGAATGAATTTGCAATATTTCGCTCTTTAAAAGTAAGTACTTAACTGCTTTATATTTATTTACACGTTCTTGTGATTCACTAAATTTTCCGTATACTTCTAAGCATATCATTAAACGCTTTTGGCATTATTATTTTTTGAAATTATGTAGAAGACACAAAATATATATCCCTGGATTTGAAATTGGGCTAACTGAAAAAAAAGTATGATCAAAACTTCCAGAATATGGAGAATTTTACCGTGTTTCACTATGGTGAACACCGAAAAACTCGTTATTATTATCAATGCGCTTTGGTAATGATTTTGGTAAAATTTACAATAACATATGGTTTTAGAATATGAGATAAAATTCTTTAAATGGGGGAAAATTTAGTAATTTTATCCTGATGACTTAGACCTTGGCATAAAAACAATTTTTTGGATTGAATTTAGATTTCAGTTAAGTATTATTGGTTAAGTTCGCTGTAACAAAAACTATAATTTTGAAAACCTAAAACATCCGGTAAACCGTTGGTCGAAGGTTAAAAACATGGTAACATTTAGCGTATTTCTAGCGTATTTCTACACCAAAAACTTCGATAATTTTTACCGAAGTTATTTGGTATCGATTTTGGTAGTATTAACAAAATATGGTTTGTAAAAACATGCGATTAAATTTGGCAAAATTTGTTAATTTTATCTTGCTTCTTTAGAACATGGAACAAAAACCATTTATACACTTAAATTCACTTTTTTAATTTTGTATTTTTTACGAAATGCGTGGTAATAAGAACTATAATTTTGAAAACCAAAACTGAGCTGTTGCCATATGAACGGAAAAATTATCAAATGAATGGTTAAATACCGTATATTATGGTTTTATTAATAGAATCATGTTGTTTTTTTAACCAAAAATGTCATTACCATACAGTAATGTCATTTTACCTAATTTTTTTTTTCTCCGTGTAATTATGAAATATAATTACAAAATATCAGGCATTCTCTCTCTCCCAGTGTTTGCTAAAGTATGTGACATGCTATACATTTTAAATGAATCTAATAAGGATTTAGGTTTGATGTTTAAACAAATAACGTTTAATAAACTTTTCCATGCAATACACTGCAAATGAATACAAGAATTATTTATAGTCAATTTTTTGACAAATAGCAAATTTCGCATGTTACAAACGAATATAATAAAGAAATAGAATTAATCGTTTAACAAATCCCCATTTTCCAACATTTTTTTAAGATTTGATATGTTATACAATTTAAATGAATTTATTCAACGATATAAAAATTTTATTTCAACAGACCATACCGGACTTACCTAAACTGAATACAATTTAAAAGTATTAAATTAAGTACTTTAAGAATTAATTATATTATTATAATAATTTGTGAAATTATCTCTTAATTTAAATTCTGATGGAGAATTCTAAGTACTGATTTTAGATACCTATATCTTTATTTAGGCTCTAATTTAACATTAAATGCTATATTTGCTGAGATTAGTAAGATGTATGCATTTATCCAAATTATTCTTAATACTGTAATTTTGCAAGCAAAAATAGTTAACATTTGTTATAAACATTAATAAAATTACACAAATTATCACTCAACCAAAACAATTGAATGTATAATAAATAGCTCATAAAACGTGATTAGAAGTTTAAATTAAAGCAAATTTGCAAACTAAAGAAACAATAACTTAAGAGCAAATTAATCGACTTCTATAGCATGAGAATTCGAATGAATTATTCTAAATTAATGTAATAACTAATAATATCAAAAACTAAAACTCCAGTGCAATATCTGGAAATCTCAGAAACCAAATAAGTAAGTCCATAAACAAATCAATAGTATGGAAATAGAGTCCATAAATTTGAAACAATCGGCAAAGAAAGAAGGCAGCTTTTAGATGTATAAGATTCCTTTTAAATTTAAGAAAGAATATAAAAAATCAATACATATGCATTCAAATAACTTATACACTTAATTAGCACTGAACTTAATAAAATAACACTTGGTAATAATTTAACACAAAAACCACTTTAATAATTTAATGCAATTGGAAAAAGTATATTAATTTTTTATTAAAATGCGTCCTCTGCTGTTCCTACTGAAAAGCAGGGAAGCTAAATTATTATTCCTGCATTGATTAGTTCAAATTTAATATCATAATTAAACATTTATGAATTAATTTTTTACTATAACAACTCATTTACTGATACAATTCATTTTTTTATATTTTAATTAATTTATTATAGTAATTAAGGTAAATTAAATCACTATACAAGCATAAATGCATTATTATCAACTGTCATATCATGAATGAATAAATGTAATTAACTTGTGAATTAATGTTATTATATTCGATTTGTTATTTATTAATACATTTTTCATTTTTAAATAAAAATATATACTCTAAAATTAAAAATTCAGAAGCAATACGTGGAGAAAAAAAAACGTACCTGAAATATTTTGTTTGTTTACATTCCGAAGAAAAGAAATGTGTTTTCGCCTTGTTTACTTGACATGGATGTATCCTTTTAATTTAAAATTATAATTTCAACACTCATTGCGCGTAAAATTTTTTATTGCACAATAGTAAAATGCAGGCAAGTTTTCCTCTTCCTTTTGTTTACATTGATGCTTTACTTGGCGTAATAATTATAGATGATCCAACTTTGGAATATCTGGACCGAAAGCTTAGAGGTATCCCGCGCAAGGATAGAACTTCGTGAACTAGTTTTGCTTGGGGCGAGTCAGGTGTGTTTTTCGAGTTGGCTTGCCACATTTGGCGATAATAATAACGCTTTTGGCTGAGGTATTAGGATCTTCGCGATGTTACGAATTCTTAAATTTGCCCACCTTCAAATCATAAAAAGGATGAAAAAGATGTAATAGAGATTTTTAGATTATAAGATTATATTCTAATTGTTTTGATAAAAAACTTCTTTAATTAACGATTGTATAATGCAGGATTTTTTTTTGAGGAAAGATGAATCCTGAAAATTATGTTATTTAATCTTAAAAAAATATGTAATTTACGGATAATTGAATTTAAAATTGCTATTTAAAGAGACGGATAAGTTAATTGAAGACACTTAAAATTACAGACGTTAATTGAATAATGAATGTTTTTAGTGGGAATAAACTCTTAAAATTACACTTTAACTAATTTAGTTAACAATAGATAGTTTATAAATTATTGAATTTACAATCGCTATTTCAAGATAGGAAAATGAAAAGAAATATTTCGATAATAAATTGATATATGTAGTTCGAATAAACTTTAAAATCATATTTTAATTATGATATTATGATATATTTTAATTATGTTATTATGAGCTATTACCTTTACAATTGCCACTCCTCAATTATGATGCGGAAATGAGAGGATTAAAGAATGCTGTGTATAGTATAGATACATCCTTAAAATTATATTTTAATCAATTTAATAAACAATAGATAATTTAAAGATTATTAAATTTACATTGACAATTACCTTTCTCAAAAACGTTAAGAAACGAAGTGGATTAAAGAATGCGGATATTTTTATTCTAGATCATAATTTTTCAGCTTGGGTGCTACTGCCTCCCCCCCCCCAATGGAATACGAGGACCTTTAGGGGAGTTCTAACGATTTCAAGTAAACTATAAATGAAATTATTAAGTTACGCGTTAAAAATTAGAATTTTTTCAGTTTATCAAAATTGTTTAAATTTTTAATTCTGCATTTGTTATTAAAGCATTTATGTTTGTTTTTTTTTTTTTCAATATTTCTTAATTAAATTAATAAACAATTTCAAACCTACATTATTAAATTTATAATTTCCACTTCTATCATAAAATAATTAAAGTTATCTACTGTACAATGCAAAAACTTTTGCCTTAATAAATCCGTAATTTATTTGTTTTTAATAATTTTGAACTAAATAATATTAAAATTCGTAAATTTATGATTAAGGTCTAATAACATTTAAATTTAATATTTCAATGTATGACAGTTTTATCAATTAATGCTTATATAATTGTCAGTTTTACACTATAGGGGGGAAAGGTAAATAGGGAAACGCAATTCATTTTTTAAAATAAAACACACAAACAGGTTTTGCTTAACAAATGCAGATAAAAATTTTTTGCAGGCTTTAATGAATACAAATAATGGAAATATTAGAACTATTTTTTCATTTCATAAAAAATAACCTATAAATATTTAAATCTATACCAAGATTGAGAAAAATTTAAAAAAAATAAAAATACTATTTCGGAATGTAGTCTCTGTCTGTTGATGACAATATCATTTGAGGAATATTGAATGATATTGTAAGGTGTCTTAAGGAGAGATCCGGAATTTAAAAACAAAGTTATAACCATATGCACTTATATTCCCTAAAGTAAAGCCTTGTGCTTCAGGGGTCAATGACGACAAAGCGGTTAAAGCAAAATAATTGCAAATATTTAAAAAAAAAAAAAAGGGTCCCTATAATGTTTGCATATCGCGTATGTTTTCTTTAATTATAAAAAATACTAATAGAATTTTATGTTAAAGAGTATTATATAAAAATAAAAAGAAAATAACTAATATTTAACAAAAAAATATTCTATTCATAAAAGTATCGTATTTAAAAGTATCCTAAGTACTTTCCACCCGTTACGTGTTCCAATAAATTTGTATGGAATTTTCAGTGCTCAGCACTACTTTTTAATAGATTATTAGAAGAAATATATTTTTTTTACAAGAAAGTAAACTTAAATTGCAAAAATAATAAAATTAAAAAAAATATCTTACTTATAAAAGTATCCTGTTTAAAAGTATCCTATAAACTTTTCAACCGTTACGAGTCGGAGTAAATTTGTATGCAATTTTCACTACAGAGCACTACTTATTAATAAAATACTATGAAGAGAAATAGGTTATTGTTGCAAGAAAGTAAATTTAAGTTGAAGTAAAGCTAGAATATTAGGCAGAAAAATCAGAGAATTTAAAAATAAAAAATAAAAATAGAAAATTGAAGACAAAAACACAACGTAAATTTGAGTATTTATAACGTCAAATTTGCGCATTTAAAAAATCACAGTGCGTCACTGAAAAAAATTAGCCTAAACACCTGTTGTTTTCACTAAATTTATTTCACAATATTTCACCTATAAAAATTGTAAAAATGTAGCAAATAACAGTTCATTATCATAAACATCAGACATTTAGTATAAAACATTACGCATTTCAGATTTCTTTATCAAATTTCAAGAAACGGAGATAAACAAAAACGTCCTTTCATTGATTACCATTTCATTTTTATATAAACATATTTGTACTTACATATAACTAAGCAAGAGACATTACCAATGAAATTTCGCTTCTACACGGAAAATAAAATTCTGTTAAATTATCATACAGTATAATAATGGTATTTCTGGTTTAAAAAAAATCTTAAAAAAAACACAATTCTGGTAAATAAGACCAAAATATTCGGTATTTAAATCATGGTAATTTTTCAGTTCGTAATGGTCACGGTTTATCGGAAATTCTTGTTTTCGAAATTATAGTTCTTATTACCGCACTAAAAAACTCATAACTGAAAAGCAAATTTAATCAAATAATTGATTTTTATGCCATACGCTACGATATCATGAAAAAATTACTAAATTTTACCTCATTTATCAAATTTAATCAAATATTCTAAAACTTTTTTTTATTTTTTATTTCATTTAAATCATTACAAATTTGCTTCGGTAAAAAATTACCGAGCTCTTAGGTGTTCCCATAGAGTCAGAAAAACGGTAAATTTTACCTCATTCTGGTAGTTTTGACCATACCTACTTTATCAGTGATATGATATTGTAACTCTAAAAATAATTTCGTGATTCAAATGTTATAAGTGTGCTAATTTATATTTATTTTATTTGCTAAATACCATTCAAATTTGCTCCAACAACAGTTCATATGGTTCTCATATCATCAAATTCATCATAATACCGGTACCTTAATAGGGAGCAAAGTTAAACCATATCACCATACTTCATAAACTTGATAACATGATACTATGGTGTATCATTTTCAACTTAATAATACTATCCATTAACTTCTTAGACTTGATGACATGATGCTATGGTGTAACATTTTTAACTTAATAATACTATACATTGACTTGATAACACGATACTATGGTGTAACTTCTTCAACTTGATAAGACGATACTATGGTGTAACTTTTTAAACTTAACAACAACGATACTATTGTTCAAATTAATCGGAAAATTGTTCAATTCAACACCTTACTAACAATACAGCAAATTTGTGTTGCATTCTAGTTCAAAGTGTCTATAGTATGGCTCCAACGTAGTACCAGCGTTTTTGAGAGAATAATAAAGAAGTAATAAATTTACACGCTAGCGAAAGTTTAAGATTAATTTACCTCTCAAATTTTTTATGCATGGAGTACCATAGCAATTAATAAACCGATATAAAAATAATATTTAAAATTTTATATTTAGATGATTGCCTAACGTTCTTCGCGCAAAAAGGCGTAATATCTTATCAGTTCTTCTTATCAGTTTTCGTACCTAAAGTTGGAATTATTATTTGCTTAAGTTCTGCTATCATTAAATATTAAGTAACTAGCTAATATCACCCGTCCCGATCAATCTACATTTTCTTGTGTAGTTTTTATTCTTTTTTCTTTTTATTTGCTTGACACTCAGACACTTTAAAAACAAGCAGTCTGGATATATACGGAGCGTGGTATTTTAAAAAATTACGGAAATTTCTTTTAAGAATTCTGTACTTCGAGAAAAAATTGTTTGCAAGTTGAATCAAATTATCCTGCATATTGATCATTCCTGCAACTGATTCCACGATTCTACAATTAAACGTGAACCTTGGAAAGAAACAGCTAACACTTAATTAATATATCAGGAAATGTTCACACTTCGCTGAAAATGAAGTGTCTTCTGCTGATTAAGCGCCCAATCATTTTAAAAATATAAACAAGTTGTTGCAAATTGAATCAAATAACCATGCAAATTGATCATTCCTTGACTCATTAACCGATTTTATTATGTAATTTAAATTGAATCTTAGTTCATTTTGGCACTTTATTAGATTTCAGCAATAATTTTCGGAAAATATATTATCTTGCGTTAGTTTGGTTTTAAGTTTTTAAAAATATAAATAAATTAATTGTTGCATATTGAACTTAATTATTGTGCAAGTTGATCACTCCTTAAACCCATTAACAACAATAAGCCAATTAACAACAACTATCCTGAAACTGTTCCATGTTATCCAATAATCATCATAAACAAAATCATTTTGATACACAAAGATGATCAATTTCAGGGGCCTACAAAAGCAATCACCATGTTGCCAAAAAATTGTAACTGGCACCCAGTTTACCTGATTTATATATTATCCGAAAATTTTTTCAGAAAATCTAAATATTTCTACACATCCAATATATGAAATTTCTGACCAGACTGTCGGTATTCGTCTTTAAAAACTAAAAATTATATTTGAATATTATGTTGATACATGATGTAATTTTATCATGCGTTGTCTGTGCATAACAATTATTTACCATACATCTGAACACGTTTTTTTTTTATATAGTGTTAATTAAAAATGATTTCATAAAAATAAAAAGCTGTTTTCTTCTTTCTATTTCATGACAAGCCGGCTCCTGCACTGTAAAAAATTCCAGATTAAATTACGGTATAAAGTACTGGCACTTTGGGTGCATCATCTGTAAAATCCATTTTACCGTAAAATATTATACCGTAATTTTTACAATAATATTTATTTTATTAGAGTGATTCAGGGATTTTACGGAAATGAATTACTGAGAAAATTACTGTG